AACCCCTTAGTGACTAGACCACTTTTCAATTTTCTTACCGTTTAGGACCAGGGCTCTTTTTTACATTTCTGCTGTGTTTCTGCGGTGTTTGTGATTAGCCGCAATTTTCCTCTTACTCATTTACTGTATCCACACATATTATTTACCGTTGTTCATGCCATTAAATGGTCTTTCTAAAGATATCATTATTTTCATCATATCATATATCACACTTTTTTTTAACTTTGACCCCCAAAATCTGTCATTTACAACCGCGAAAAAAATACCCATGTTAAATAGTTTCTAAATTTTGTCCTGTCTTTAGAAATACCCAGTCTTAACATGTTCTTAGCTTTTTTTGGAAAGTTATAGGGCTATAAGTAGAAGTAACACTTTGCTATTTCCAAACCATTTTGTTTTTAAAAATTAACGCAAGTTACATTGTAACACTGATATCTGTCAGGAATCCCTGAATAAGCCTTCAAAGGTATATATTTTTTAAAAGAAGACATCTTAAGGTATTAAACTTGGGGTATTTTGACTCTTTTTTTTATACAACCTGTGACGAGACCAATCTCGCCACATTGCATTGGAGAAGCCTGGTTGCTCGCCTGTTGCCTTTGGATTATGGCCCCATGTTAAAAGGCTTGATTTTCCCCTGCAAAGACATGAAAGCCGGGTCATTTGTCATTTCTGCTTGCCCTGTTTGAGCGGTGATACCCCAGATAGCTATGCCATGGAGCCTATTCGTATAATGAAAGACTATGGGAAAGACTTTGGCTCCATGGCAATTGATCTCTATGTGTGTGCTCTGAGCGCCATTCAGTAATAATGTGCGCTCAGATCTGAGCTATCTGGGGATATGTTGAATGTACCTGTTTTGTGCAATGGCTGCACAGTTAAATGTTTTTATGTGTTTTATTGTCTTTTGCTGCCATGTGTTCAATGGAGTTTTGCCTCTGTCTTTGGAGATAATTGGATTACTTCCCAATTATCTCCAGGATAGAAGACTCTGTGGAACTGGTTTTGGGCAGAAAACTCATGCTTCCTTTGGTCACAAAGGACTACGATCTATCTTTTGAACCATTGGATCAATTTGTATGAATTTGACATATGTTTGTATTTGGAGTATGCTGATTCTGAAAATGTAAGTATTATGTGAATGTGATGCATACTTTTCAAGTTATGAATAATGTGGAAAAATTTTATTTCTCTGCTTGTGCTAATTACATTACCCATTGTGTAAGGTAATTGAATCACAGGCAGAGGGGAGGAATTTGTGTGGGAGTGTCTGAGTGTATTGTATGTGTTTATTGGTTGTGTTCCAAAACCCTGTGGGTGGTACTAATGTGTAAGAATGTGTACATAAGCACAATAAACCCACAGCTCTGGCTGTTCACTGCTTGTCCTTCAAAACAGAGCCATGTCTCGTTCTTGGGGGGATTTATTGTATGCTGTTCCAGTTTGACTGCTAGGAGTGTAGTTTTTTCCTATTCGGCTGTTTATGGCATTCAGATGGTTTCCTGTTCGGCGGATTGGTGTTCTGCAGTAGCTGTGCCTGTGTCTCTGGAAGGGAAGATCTACTAAACGTCGGTTTAACCCTATTATGCCCTGGGGTACCGTTACACAATCATTTTATCACCAATCTATGCCAAAGTAAAAAAAAAAAAATTGGTGATTTTTTCTGACACACATAGAAATTTAAGAATACGTGAATTGAGAACTTTATGGGTTACTGCCAAAGAACACCCCAATATGCAATTTGTGTTCAGCAACATCTCCTGAGTACACTGATACCCCCTATGTATAGGTGTCTCGGGTTCTCTGGGAACTGAAAGACCTTATTTGGAGGGTGTGCATTCCAGTTTTCCAACTTGGAATTTCCACAGATGGTCATCATGCACCCATGCCCTATTTGGGACATTTTTCAAGCCGGCCAATGTAATTTACACCCATCAAACCATTTATTGTGAAAGGTATACACCATAGGGTATTTCAAATGGTGGTATTTTAACACTTTCCATGCACTAATTCTACCACCAGTCTTTGTCAACTATTTGGGTAGTAATTTTTTGTGTTATTTTCTCACACATTGTACTTTAGGCATGGATTCTCAGCTCCTGTTATGTATTACTGCCAAAGAACACCCCTGTCAGTTCAGGCAGTCCCCCTGCTGGCAGCACTGTGGACACCAATATGCGGCCATGTGACCACTCTTTTAGAGTGGCTGCTGAGGTCTTACAGAGCAGAGGGGGGGCTGCCTGGGCTCACCCTGGACAGTCCCCTTCAGAAGATGACCGATTGCTGGCGGGGGAACGGTGGCGATCGGTAAGTACATGGGGAGGAAAGGTAGAGGGTTAATTAATTAATTTATTTATTATTATACCCCTCGAGGCACTCAGTACAGGCAGAGCACCGGAAGCCTGCCAGAAGGCTTCCAATGTTCTGCTGTACACTGCTGGGCGCCCCGTGCGCCAACCCGGAAGTGATCGGGAGGTATTCCACGATTCCTCGATATTGAGGCATCGTTGAATACCCTTAGAGCAGCTGGAAGCAAACATGATCACTTCCAGCCCTCATTTTGTCCGTGGACATACAGGGTACGTCAGCGGTCGCTAACGACTTTTTTATGGCTGACGTACTCTGTTTGTCCACGGTCACTAAGAGGTTAAAGACTAAAAGAGTATGAGTTTTAGTATTTTGGATTATAAAGCAATAAATATACTGTATGTCCATTAAGGTTGATTGATTTAGGCTGTTAGTTATTACAAATGTTAAAGGGACTCTATAGTCACCAGAAAAACTACAGCTTATTGCATTTGTTCAGCTAGGTATAATTATTCTCTTCAGGCTTTTTTCCATAAACACTGTCTTTTCAGGGAAAATGCATTGTTTACATTGCAGCCTAGTGAAAACCCCACTGGCCACTCATCAGATGGCTGCTAGAAGTGCTTCCTGGGGCAGTGCTGCGCAGTGTGACTTCCATTCATTGTATCCACCCTCTGCATGCAGACCCTGAACATTCCTCATAGATTCAATTCAGGGTTGTGTTTGACTTGTGCTGGCTCTGCCCCTGATCTGTCTCCTTGACAGTCTCAGCCAATCCTATGGGGAGGCATTTTGATTGACTCAGACCACCACTTCTGATGATGTCAGCAGACAGCAGGCAGATCAGAGGCGGGCACAGGTTGAGCCAGCAGCTGCAGCTCCCTATATTTAGGGAGGCAAGAGGAGGCCAAGGGGGGCTAGATGGTGGTTTTAACACTATAGTGTCAGGGTACATGTTTGGGTTCCTGACCCTATAGTGATCATTTAATATTATATTCTGAAGCTATTTAATAAATTTAGTATTCATCTATGGAGAAAAGCTTCAAACATTGTCCCTATTCAGAGGTAAAATTCATTGTATGGCATGGACATTGCTAGGGGAGCCTTGATAGTTGAAGCTGCAAGGTGGGACTATTTAGCTATGAATCTCTACAGGTAGTGGATCTGGCCTTTTTAAGAGATTTTTTTTTAATTTTACATTAGGCAGCTGCTTCTCGGGGCAACTTTCTGATCCATATATATGACCACTAATACAGTGCTATGCAAGGCTACTAAAGGGAAAGTGGGTGGGATGGGATGGTTGGCGTGCCATGGAACTAAACTTTGCTGCACTCATTTCTATTACATAGGTAGCATAACAAAATGGCTCTGAATACCCAGTTGGACAATATGTGCTTTTTTTCCAGCTATGCTTTCATTGAGATCCCAGAGAGTGTCAGCCGCTTGTTGTTCATGGCTAGGCAGGAGGGGACATAACATAGAGAGGCAGAGATATATCAAATGATATCGCTAAGCTTTCTGTTAGTTTATAGGTCTTCAAGTTTTGATTTGGGCTTAAGCCCCAGATATTTCTGGAACTTAAGAAAATCTGAGGCAGACACACTTGCTAAAATAATTCTCTTTGCATGGAGGGGCCTAACATAAATATCATATAAAGTCATGTTTAGCAAAGTTAAAAAGGAGCAGTTTGTCATCAAAGTTCTAAGAGTGTTTGAATGAACTTGAACCTTTATTAATATCCAACTTACTTCAAGTGTGACATTTGGCCTTCAGGTTTGCTCCAGTGCTGACGTAATAAATATGGTCTGGATAATGACATATCTCAAATAAGAATACAAAAAAAAAAAAAAAACGACAAGAAAAAGGATCAAAACCGAGATTTGCAAATTGCTTTACTGTAACTCTACCAATCCAAGTGACAGAATGAACAAATGAAAAAGTTTATCTTCAATATTAAAGTGTTGATGAATTAATTCATATTTGCTCTCGACTCACATAATCCAGATACATTTACAAACTGAGGCATAAATTACATTAAAAAATTCCAGTTTATGCATTTTACTAAGGCATTCTGAAAGCAAACTTCTGTATTGCTCAGGGATTTGGTGAGAATAAACAATGTGATTAAAATTATTATTAAAATTGTATTAACCTGGCTATTTATTAAGGGAACTATAAATAAATTGGTTTTTAATTTGTAATTTTAGTGGTAGATAAAACAGTATATTAATCTTTACTCCTGAAAAGGGTAGAGATAATTAATCTAGTGGTGGCTCCTCCGGAACCTTGAGACATATGATGCCCGTGTCAAGTTAAGCCTTTTAAGATTTGTCTGTTGGGGAAAGCATAGAGGAGGAGAGAAAAAAGACAGAGTGGGGAAGACTTTAAAGGACTTCCTAAACGACAGAAGGTTGGTGGAACCATGGAAAGGATTGCATTGCATGTGCTTATCGGGAGATTACTGGGACTTTGAATGGAATTCACCAAATATTACTTCTTATTTTGACCATCAAATCAGATGAGAAACAAAAAGAGAGCGAAAACAAAACACAATCACAACAGACATTTGCAAATTGCTGTACTGCAACTCTACCAATCCAAGTGACAGTATGAACAAATGACAGCTTATTCACTCACTCAAAAGCATTTAATCTCTTAAAGATTTGAATGGTGAATGATTGTTCACTCTCCCTGGGGCACTCAAAAAGTTGACACTGTTTGACATAGTAGGTTGACAAATTATTTACCCATGAAATGAAAAAAATCAAACACATGTAAAATGCATTAATGAACCAAAAATTGTCAGTTTTATTTATTTTTAGGAAATGATTACATTCATATAATGTCCCCACACCCATGTATTTAAATATTTGTTTAGTGCATGTAGGGTCATAAAGGCCCATATGTTACAGACCAGAAAATAGTAATAAAAATGATAGGCGTTGATAATAAAAATAAAATAAAGAGGTTATACACTTAGGCATGGTTTTGTGTTCAATGTATATTATATACTATTCACTACATTGATAAGTATATCATGATATCCATTTTTTCTTCATATCCATGAGCTTAAATCACAGCCATAGTCTATCTAGCCTTAAAGAGTCGGCAAAGATGAGTTTACAATAATACCTGGGGTAGACTGGATAATGGTAAGTAAAGACATAAATATATATATACTATATATCTATATATATATCTATCTATATATATATATATATATAGATAGATAGATATATATACACATACATACATACATACATACACACTCACACACACATACAATAAGCATAAAAAGATAATATGTACGACTATATAACTGATTTAATGACATATAGTTTTTGCAACTTCTGGAACAAGTACAGACGATTGATTCTCTGCAAGTTTTCACATTCCATGGAACTCACACTTGTTCATGCAGTTGTTGTCATTTTTTTCTAAGTTGCATAAATACAAATATATAACATGATAAAATAGCATTAACAATTTGGCACATAAGTTATTCGAGAAAGTGTTTATTTTAGAAGTTATCAACCAGCTAAAACACATTTTTTTTTGTCTGGAAAAATAAAATGCTACCAACATTTAAAAACGGGAAGACATCCAGATTTTTGTTTTAAAATAAAGTATGTGGGTGATTACCTAATTTAGATTATAATTATTAACAGGTTTAAAATGATAATAGGTTTATAGACAGAGATGAGCAAACTGGTTTGTACAAATTTGGAATCAGCCATTTTCTATTTTATTTTTTGGAACGTCTATACCAGTTTTTTAAATTATGTGCTTTTTTTCAGGAATTGTTCACTCACATCAACCAAAAGGAAAACTGTTCAGAAGGTTTCAGATTCCAATTTTAGTTTCTTGACTTTGTAACCATTAACATCTTTAAGGGTCAAATGAAAGTTCTTCCATAAACTGTACATTTGTGCCCATTTGTACTATATATCTAAAACTGAAAAGTAGGAGGTTTGCTCATCTCTATTTATTGTTAAAATGTTGGAAGGTCATAATATAAGAATATACATATTTCTGGATCGAGTCAATAGTCAACATACGTAGGGCCTCTCCGAGTTTCTGGTATTTGGGCATTAGTGAATTTCTTTCATTCTGGGAATTGCATAGACCTTTAGCACTGAAACCGAACCATACATATATTTTATTTCCAAGTATTTTCACTCATAGTTGCAATAAATAGGGATGAGACAGTGACTCTTATAGCCTAATAGTGGAAGAGATATCAATACGTCCTGTATATATGTATCTTGTTTCTAAATATAGTTATGGTGTCTAGTCTACTGCTAAAAATAATCATTGCTTTAAATCTCCAGTGTGAGCGACCACCTAAACAACTTATCAGAAGATTTAAATTATTATAAAATTATCCATCATTATTAAGCTGCTCCTCCGCTTCCTTGGTGGAAATAATAGAGTAAAGATGGGGATAACCCATAGAAGGTTTTCCCATTTATCGCTAAACTTACCTTCACTGAACTAAAATTGTCCCTACTTTTTAAGCTTACAACTTCTAAAACAAATTTCACTCAACATAAAGCACAAGTAATACTCAACTTTAATAAATATAGAAATTAAATGTGAAAAGTAGGTGACAGTTACACTTATTCCAGGTCAATGTATTGGTCATCCTTATTATGGCATCTGAGAGAAAGGTGACATATTGCTTATGTAACATTGACCCATTAATATAAACAATCAAATATTTACTTTTAATGTTAATAATCAAATATTTACTTACATAGTTGAAAAGCTAGGAAAATGACTATGTGTGAAAGCTATATTCAATATTGCGTCAATGAAGGCTAGAAAGTTAAGTTAATAACTTATGGGTTTTTATACTGTCTTGAATTACAGGAAATCTCTCCCTGAGAAATTGTGCATATCTGTTCATCATTTCTGCACTAGAATATTATTTTTGGGAGGATTTCTTAAACTTCCCAATCCAAGAAGACCATGGTACAAGTTTTAGTAACATTCTTGCCTTACCTTGGTTTGCGTAATAATAGACCAGAGAGTGGTAGAGGCGTTTATTCTCGAAAAAGTAAGTTTGTGGAATTGAATGCAGAATTGCAAAACTTAAGTCAGACAAAATATATCCAAGTTGGCACAACGTGCCACAAATCCCTGTATAGTTGATAAATATTTCAAAATGAAATCCCTGGGCTATAACTTCATAAGCCTGCTGAAGAAATGCTACGGAAAAAATTAGCAGCAAAATCTGAAATCAGTGATACCTGCTAGCAGGCGTTTATGCAATCTAAAGGTTGCCCTGGTCATCGGAATCGATAACGCCCCATTATGCATGTACTCTAGCTTGGCCTAATATTACCCTTTTGGGGTGGCAGCTGAAAGCAGTAAAGTGCGATTTGTTGTTTGAGCAATGAAAGGAAACACATTTAAAGACTTTTACACTATAATATATTAGTAACATTGTTCAGCATCTGTAAGACCTCCAGAAAGCTAAATAAACCAGACACTCAGTGGGTTCCAAAATTAAGGGAAAAAAAGGAATACTCTAAACTGGAAAAGGGACAAGCAAAGGCCTAAGTGCAGTGGCATGCAGAGTACTCCTACCCCTTCCTTCAATCCAAGATTTCTAGGTGTAAGAGGATGACTAATTATTACCTAGTTGCAATAAAGGAAGAGGATGCTGACTCCTAGAGTCCTAGCATTGATAGTATCATGGTGTCTCCAAGCACACAGATCCTTTCAAAAAGACCATCCAACCATTTATCCTAATTTAACCTAAGTAAAAGTTCCAAAATCTGGGGTTTGGTTGTAGATGGCATGGAGTTTGAAGATCCTTGTTCACCTAAACTTTGGGTTCTGCTAAGAAACAGGAAAGTCAAGAGGTCAAGATAGACCATAGAGAGAGTGTTCAAAGTACTTTGACCCTTTTGGACAAAGGGAGAATGTAATCCACTCCCTGTCTGACCCCGAAGGTAGAGCAAGAACATGTTGATGTCTACGATTGCTGAAGAGACTGCCATTGTAAAAATGGCATTGAAAAAAAAAAGTCTATTACATTTTTTAATGTCTTGTAAAACTTTTGTTGATGCTAACCAGCACTGGTTGTCTCCTGGTTTACCTTAAATTAGTGGAAAAGGTAGTAGACTGTGCATGTGTAGTGTTTACTGTGCATTCGTACACAGTAAGAATATGGGTGTTAAATGCCACTGCAAAAATAAACATATAATGGATTGCAAGCCAAAATAAATGTGTTTTAACACAAAGACTTAATTCTTCCCCATTCTCATGAAATTTTGATGTGACAATATTATAAAGTAGATTAAAAGGTTTGCAACAGTTAATTTAGTACCTAGTAAGTAATTACATTGTTAAATGATTCAAAATGAATAATAGTTAAATGCTTCACCATGAATAAAACTAATCAGAATTCCTACAATATGGTTAGTTTTAGTTATTCATAAATTGGTACAAGAGAGCACATATATATATATAGGTGATCGTTCACATGGCTGCATTATCATGGCTTGTACAGTATATTAAATGAATTATATTCACATCAGGAAGCAAGGTAATATAAATATTTGATTAGATACCAATGAAAATTATTTTGGAAAGCACAATGTTCTTCTGAAGAATATAATGTCTGTACTACTCGTTATATACATATCTGTTACTGATACAGATTATATATATATATATATATATATATATATCTCGACATGTGATTATAAATGGTTTAAAATGTTGTCTTTTCTATTCTAATATAGCAGTATTTAAAAATTACATTCAGGTGCTATGGTGGGAATAGGGCAGTTGGTTCTGTCTTGTACACTCTGTAGCGTGAGGTCATACATGTTACTAAGTACATTAAAATCTGGAACGTGATGAAAGTTCACTGGAGGACTGAAACATTGACAAAGCTTATGGTATGTTAATAAAAATAACTTTTACTCATTGAACACAAGTCCACTTAGTGCTCTTCATCGGTTTATATATATTTTTGTATATATATATATATATATATATTTTGATCCATGGCCTTATAGATTATGAATTTGCTGTTAAAATATAAAAAAAAAATAAACAGCAAAAATGGTTTAGTTCCTTATTGAAAACTGAGATTTATAGTATGGCTGGATAACACTTTATAAATGATACAAAACAATGATCTAATTACTTTCTAAATCAGTTGGAATATTCTTAATGTTTAGTCATTGGTCATGATTCCACTGCAAGATTACACATCGTGATGAGTATACACAGTTATGTAACTACGTGATCTTCACATCACTGTGGAATTGTTTATTAAATCTTGATCAGGTAGACCGCATTCAGATTTCATGAATAATTGTGGCGTTCACAGGCGGATGAGTAAATCATGTGTACATAACAGATGAGGTCAAAAATAGCTAGTCCATTTTCATTCCTCATCTTCCTACAGAAGAGGTTATGGATTTTATCGATGAGTTGATGTTCTACAAGAATGGGATTTTGGCTCTTAGATGATTATTCATTAACAAATGGAAACGTCTGAAAATAAATCATAACCTTTTCTGTCGCAGTTTGTTCTCTATGTCATAAATACTTATATGATCTAAACAATGATCACCCACTTTTTTTGAAAACAAATCAGAAAATTATTATTATTATTGCCGACGCAGAGCTCTTAACTGTTGTATTCTTCTTAATGCAGTTAAACAGAAAGATTCTCTGCATCCCTATCGTGACCCAGATATGGGTTTGTGCTTCTTTGAAGAGTCTTTGATCTGCAGAAGGTTTCATACACTCGTTTCCCTAAGATACATAGTGCCAATGTTGTACGACACCTTTCTCATTCTAACAGATGTTAAGGAGTGCTTTGGCTGTTTTTGACTATTCTTGTCCTCTAGGAAATAACAAATCCCAGCAATTTCCTTTGGAAAGTTTTCTGGAAGATCCTCACGTGAGCGGGGTTCGAAGTGAAAATTTTCTTCCCCCTTTAAAAGTCTGGAAGAATAATAAAAAAAAAAAAGCATGTATTTATTAACAGCACTAAGAACAATTCAGAAAGATTAAATAATGAGCGATGCTAGTTAAGCTTGGAACAAAGAGAAACATCAGAGGAAAGGATGACAAAATAAATCCCACTGGGAGAAAGTTAGAGAGGTTATCATTAAAAAAATATGCATATAGAATTATTACGGATCACCTAGTTTCAACGGATATTCCCAGCAA